GCATTTTCATTTTTTAATGAATTTGTTTCAATACCAAATAGACAAGAAGCAATATTATCAAGTGTATATTGACCATTAAGTCTGTTATTGTAACAAAGCTATAATTAAAATATAGTTACAATAAGAAAAAGGCAAACATACGCATTAATATTAAATATTTCGTGTTTATCCGCATATTCTAGAAGGCGATTGTTGTACATATCGCTCACTTCATTCATAAGACCATACATCTAACGAGAAAGAAAAGATTCTAGAAAAATCAATAATATCTAACAGAGATATTTACTGCTCTGAGTTTCGCTGTAGAGAATGTTGGTGAAACGATAGATCGAGCATTTTTCCATTGTTCATCTTGTAATAGTGTGAGTCCATATTCAAAAGGACCGGATATATTTTTGATAACCTGTCAAGAAAAGTTATTATGTCAAATAATGAAAGAGAAACAAAAGTTTTAATATTTTACTCGTCGATTGACAAACACATTAGAATCTTTGATAAGTACATTTCGAAGTAGATCTGGATCAGAGAGAAGAATAATTGGAAATGTTCCTTCAAATACTCTAAAAGGCATGTACAATTATTTAACATAAAATTATTGATCGACTCTAAAACATCTGTAAGACTTTTTATTCACCCAATAATTTTTCCGTATTTTTGAACCAGTTCGATATCATTCGTTTTCATGCCCTTAATAAAACCTGTGAGTATCAAACCAAATCAAAGGATAAAGTTCATTACCTTACGTGCAATATTAAACAGCTGGCCAAGGAATGGAATAGGTGCTGGACCAGGAATTCCAAGACGGCGAAATATATTATTTGTACGCAAATTGTAGCTAAAATTTGCATCATCAAATTATCGATTCGAAATAATAAATGAATCAAAAAGAATACTCACACATAATAAGCAAAAATACTTATGACTACAGTCAATAATGTCCAAGTCATCAAACCACTAATCAGAAAAAAAGCCATTTTTATGTTTGTGATCTAGAATAAAACATAGAAAAGTCTTTTTCTTCTGAATATTTATATAAATTCCTTTAATCTCAAAAGGTTGACAATATTCATGCATCACTCTATTGCTCTGTTGATTCATATGACGATATTATTTACAGCACTCGTTATTTTGCAACTCATGTCAATTCATTTGTTTTTGTCTTATTTAAATATTGACACAAAAAATCTATACTAAGCATTATAAGAGTAAAAAAGAAAGAAAATTAAAATAAAAAATTGAGGGTATTCTGTATACAAAGCATGCAACGTAAGTTTTAATTTTCTTAAGGAATATTCTTTTCTCAAATGTTTCTGTATTAGTGGAAACTGATATTCCCAGTGCACAACATTCAACATCTAAATCTATTCAATACTGGAATTTCAGCTTTATGTATCTCATTGTCTGAGGGAGACAAGTAGCGGACAGTGTAGAAATTCTGCATTAATTTTGTTTTTCAGTATAGTGTAACAAACACTCATCGTGAAGACTTGATAGCTTTCTTGTTAGAAAGAACAGAATCTCTACTACAAAGTTGTGTAAAAATATTTAGTGCAATATCGAAGCCTGAAGAGTCTTAAGAACATGTTTGGCTAGAAAAGTGCCTTGCAACTTCATTCAAAATCAGTGATGAGAAGTGCATTTCATCAATTTGTCTTGTACTTGGCTTTCAAAATTTTTAAGCACGTCATGTGAGAATGTAACGAATGTGATAGGAACTTTCGAGTGTTATAAAAATATTCGGGTTACAAAGCCACGGATTCCATAGGAAACGATTTTATTAAAACTATATTTTCTTTCTCGAACACCTAATGAAGTTTTTTGTCATAATGTCTAATAGAAAAACTGTATTGTGTTTTATATTAATATGCTTTTGTAGAGAACTCACTAAATTCTAATTGAACATAAAATATGAGATTTCGTTAATTTCGGTTTCCGTAAGAAATCTTATTTTTCGAAATCACTTATTAGTTGTGAACACTTTTCGTTAGCAAAGGCCGTTAGAAAAGATCGATTTCAAACTTAACTGATAACTTGAAAATTTTATTTTTTCTCTGTTTTGTAATGCCTTATCATAGCGCTATAAAACCCGATAGAAGACAGAAAATATGACTAAATTTCTTAGTAGCTGAACATTGTTTTCGAAATTCTAGAAGTGTGCAGAGAACTTTTCAACCTTCAGTAAGTATTTTAAATCAAATATTTTTATAAAGCTTTGTAATAGAGACTTTGTTCTTTCTAACAAGAAAACTATCGAATGTCTTTGGCGAATTATTCTTACGCTATAATGAAAACAAAATTAATATAGAGCTTTTGGATCATTCATTAAAATCCAAATGACAGAAAATTTTGAATTACTTTAAGAAATATTTTTCATTTTTTATGAGTAGAATCTCATCAAAGATACTCTATAGAAGAAGATTTACAAATCGATTTACTTTAAAGAACATAATAATAAATCGTGTATTCATGTTTATATATATATTTGCTATCTTAATCTATTATGTACTGCAATAGTTCAAGACTTTTTCTTATCTTATGGAGTTGAGTATAGATTAAGTGATCTAATTTGTAATATTAAAAAGATTTCTGTGGATTAAATTCAGTTAGTCAAAAAGCAAATTAGTGTAACTTAATTTAGAAAAAAATAACAGTTAACAATCAATATACTCAATTATTATGTTATCCATTTTATGTTCATTTAATTCTTCTTGATGTTTTGTTATTTCTGTACGTGTTGCTATCATCAGAGAAAAATAGATCGAACATTTTTTTTTTTATTAATGGCAGAAACACACTAGTGACATGCAGAAAACTAAAAGTTAATTTTAATAAATGACTGATCGAAATACTGGAATTTTTCTATTTCATGATAATTCAAAAAATAACGAAACAATTTTGGTGATTTCGACGTTACTAACATCTCTGAAAAATAAGATGTTGAAAGCCGAAATTCTACTATAGAGTGGAGTTAAATGTCCAGAGCCTATACTACCAAATTTCAGCCTACATCGGAATTGAAACATGCGAGAAATAGACATATACCAACTTTTGTAGCATCATATCGAAGATGACCTTTTTCTGTATAGATAAAGTAAGTCCTTGTCGACTCTCTGTATCAGCCTTACTCACATTCTTTTGCTCTATCCAAAGTTGTGGTCGAAATTCATGAAATACATAAAGAAGGTTTCGAAGTTTGCGGAATTTTCTTAAAACTTACATTTTTAGTGTCAATTTCAACCACTTCAGAGACCCATGTTTCGCATTCAATGAAATCTAACATTAGCTTCTGATAGAGCATTCACTATTGGTCACAATTATTTTGAAGAATTATTGGAAATTTGATAGTTCTCAATGCTGGGAATATGATACTTTTAGTATAGATGCACCCGTTTCTGGAACGCCGAGCCAAGTATTAATATAGTGTTAGTATTGAGAACTTCCAAACTTTCCACTATTTTTCATAGTAGTTGTGACTAATATTGGATGGTCTATCAGAAACTATTGTTAAATTTCATGGAATACAAAACACAGGGCTCTGAAGTTGTTGCTTGGGCTCGTTTACCTAAACACAAAAAAAACCTATTCCATACAGTTGGAGATTTTGATGTTACTGTTGATTTGACGATTTTCAATAACGAATGAGTACTTTTTCACTTTAATGACAGCGCCCTCACTCGCAACGTTGTGTTGTGTGTGTGTGAATCATACGAATCAATGTGCAGATGTGATTAAAGCGAAGAAGAGTTCTAAAATTTTTATTTTGTATTTCATGAATTCTGACGACAGCTTTGGATAAGACAAAAAAAGTTGAGTAAAACTGATTCAGAGAGCCAAAAGGGACTTACGTTGTTGATACAGAAAAAAGTCATCTTTGACATGATGTTCCAGAAAATAGTGCAAGCCTCTCAAGAAAAAAAATATTATTCGAGGAAATAAAAATTTATTTCCGTACTCTTTATGGTGTTCGAAAGATGGCGCTAAATATAATAGAATTTAACTATAAGAACTCTTTTATTTGCATGCGTCAGAAGAACATGAACTAATGGACCATCTTTTTATTTTATACCGTCTGTAGTCTTTTGATCAACGGTATCACTCCCTATTTTATGCTTTCATCCTTCGTAATTTTGTCTTTAGTTTACGGTGACAATTGGAGGAATGTCTTGATGAATGTAGAAAAATCTCGTTTAACTTAAATTGTATGATTTTCAGAACTCGTTTTATATTTATCTCCTGAAAGTCTCATGTATTCTATTGTTTGCAAGGGGAAACAGCTGATTTTTGTAATTTCAAAAAAAAAAAAAACAGAAAATCAGAAAAATCTAATTTCAGTTGTTTCTTCCTCAGTCTTGTTTGTATAATTAAACTTGACTAGTAATGTTTCTTTTTTTTCATAACGAATACATCATAAAAACAGAAAAAAAGCTCTCCCTTTAGTTTATCTTTCAGTTAATGTTTACTCAAAAATATTTTTTTTTTTCTTCGTTTTTCTTAAAATCGAATTGATGTTTAAGAGACGAATCTTTTTAGTTACTTAAACGTTATCTTTATACATAGATAAAAAAATTAAGATCAGATTAAAATAAATAACAAAAAAACATTGACTATTTATCGACTTTGCTTTAATTTTGTTGTATTATATGAAAATTTTTCGATCAATATGCAGCGTTCAATATGTTTAACTAAAATCTCGATTGTTCATTGCAACGAAATTTTCTGATTAATTTTCAAAAGATATTCTGAAAAGGAATCTAGAAATTATTTGTTCTTCTTCAATTAAAGATTGCGTCAAGAATAAAAGTCTCTCTTAGCATTTTCTCAATATCTCGGTCAAGATTTATTGGAGATTTCTAATATTTTTTTGACATACTAACATATGATTCTTGAAAAAAGTGACCAAGTTTAATCGACTAGACTATAGTTTCTATTATTTTTGAAAATATTCAATAAATAAAAGAACCGAAAATTATCGTTTTGAAAAATAATAGAGACTTTTTTAGTCGATTAAAACTTACTATTTTCGGGAGATTTAAATAGCGAATCTTCCAAAAAAAGGATCAAGATATCTACTAGCTTTTAACGTATTTCATTATCGTCATCGCCTAATCAAATCACACTAAGAAACGTGAATTTGTGCTATACTCAAACGGAAATATTATCTTCATCCTGACTGTGAAGAAAAATTTTCTAAAAATTCAAAACTCTAAGAATAGATTAAATTAGTTAGAATCGAATGATGTCTCAGACTACAGTGAACACTCTATTTTGTGAAGGTCGAACAAAAAAGCACGGGAACGATAAGTACCAGACAATTGAACGTAGAAAAAAAGTTACGAGTATGAATGTTAATGATGGTGTGGGGTTGTGCATAAGGGTAGTTATCGTTTTACGTTGGCTGATAATATGAAAAGAGACTAGCATAGTGCAACAACTAATGATGTATTGGTATCGATTATATGATAGTGTTATTGGTTGTATCTAAGTCAATAGTATAGCCGTTTTTTAGACTATAGCAATAATTCTCATGGAAAAAACATAATCAAATATTTATATTTAATGATTCTCAAATACACGAAACAAAAACAAATGATAAAAAATATAACAAAAGAGTAGTTGATGCTACTTAACTTAACCATTAATCATGAATGCAAGTTTTTTGACAATGACAAAAAAACTGATCACAACAATAGAAGTTCTGAGAACTCAATAAGATTATTTTATAGTAAAAAACAACATATTCTTTTTTTCTTACAGAGATACTGAACACTTGAAAGGGGCATTCGGTCTTAACGGTCCAAATTTTTCGTCTCTCAGACTATATGTAAGGAAAGTGTTTTCATTTGAATAGATTCATTTTCGTTAATGTAGATACAGTAAATTAATAACAATCAATGTTGTCAATAGCGACAAGCATTGAAAAAGTATTCGGAGCAAAGTAAGAGTGTGGAAGATTGTATTTTTTTATTTCATATCC